AAAATATTCAGATTTTTACATATATTGGAATTACTAAAGAAGTAAGAAGAAATAAATGAAAAAAAAAAATGTTCATGCAAGACACCTGACCAGCAGTTCATTTGACTGAATGGAAAACAGTATGAGCGGCCTGGTCCTCTGCTGGTGTACACAGACATATACATACATTGGTGCAAGGCCCCTGGCTTTACTCGCTGGGCTGTCAGACCTGTCCCCTGGACAGGAGCAGGTGCCTGAGGACAATCGCTGGGTTTCAAGCTGCCTCACCAGTTCCCAGCGTTGGCACAGCTGTGGTGCTCTGAGGACCAGGTCCGGAAAGGTGGTCAGTACCACAGGGCAAACCAAGACGTGCTTCGTGGGCACAGGAGGTCTGGAACGGGAGCAGCACATTTTGAGCTAAGCACAGGCAGGACCACTTGTTCCAAATACACCTTCATCCCGTTGGGATGGGCACCCACAGCCCGCAGAGCAGAGGACACACTGGCCTGAAAAAGAGGCAGTTACTGCCTCCTGAGGGGACAGCAAGGGACGAGCAGAAAAGGAGGCATCAGGACTGTGGTTCACCCACAGACTTTGACCTGTCTGTCTCCATCCTCATGAGGAACAGATAAAGGACCCTGACACCCTCAAAGGGTCCCTGGCTGCTGGGCATATTACAGCTCACAGATTCCTTTCAGGAGATGGTTTCATGGTAAGTCATGGGTTTTCTGCTGTCCTCCTTCCTGCTACCCTCTCCTGTCCCAGGTGTTTATTCTCAGACCTCCATCTCTGTGTTTACATCTTTCTCGTGCCAATCACCTTCTTCCCTCCAAACATCTAACTGATTAACATGCCAAGTGGGTATGCTTTCCCTCCCAGACAGTGCCTGAAGGCTTGCCTGTGCTCCCCAGCTACCTCGGTTAACTCTTGCACTCATCTTGCTCCTCCGGTCTGGGTGCAAGTGCTAGGAACTCTATTCAGAACAAATGCCAATGTGTTTCTTTTTAAAAAGACTCCCACCAGTCATGCCTGTTTTTAAGCAAACCCCAGACAGAATTCTGGCAGATTTGTGTCTCACAACAGCTCCTCTGGAACCCAGCACTTCCAATTTGGTAATGCCTCCTTGTCCTCTCAGTACTGCTCAAACACGAAGTCACCAAAACCACCTCCCTGCCTGATGTGGGGGAGAATGATTGGCTTCCTAATGATGGGGCAGGAGGCCTCTGTACTGCTTTTGCACTAGGGATTTGTTTTGAGGCTGTGGGTTACAGCTGTCCGTGTTCTCTCAATAGCACCTTCATGTTCTATTGCACTGTAACAAATTCATAAGACTAATCTAGGATCATCTATTTTCATTTTCTTATAATCAGGAGTGAAACTTTGGCCAAGTCTCCTCCCTCCTTTTCAGAATCAGCCTGTGTGATTGATTTTCTCCATCTTTTCTTTTGCACAACCCTTTGAGCTCTGTCACACTTATGCTTTCTTCTGTTTTGTTCTTCATTGACAATGTCTGGTCCTGCAGGATTTACTGAATGTCTGCAAACTGCATGCAGTCATGCTTTCTGTAGTACACCTTTCCAAGGAGGGTTTTGCATTTTTTTCAAATTTCTCTTGAATTCAAATAATTTTTTGCAACCAGTTATTAGGACATGTGAGTTTCTCATTGTACTGTTTCCATGTTCTTCTCAGGCTTATTTTGGCACATCATTATTGCAGGAGGAAGAGGAAAATTGTGCCCCCAGTAAGATTAGAGGCTTGTAAAGTTCCTTCTTTGACTGTCTTACTGTGTATCCACCACTCTTGGCACTAAAGCAAGAGGTTGTTTTTGCAGTAAGCAGATACAATGTCAAAATGGCTTGATTACAGGCAATGATACTACACTTACTAAGTCCATGGAACGGTTAGAAGATGTGCCAGTTCTTAGTTGGGAACATCAACACCAGCCCCGAGAAGTTTAATATCAGGAGTACACATTACCATGACTAAATGAACATAGAAGCCCTCAGTTGGGACAAAATCCAGTCAGGAGAGATGCTTCTCAGGGCTACACCTGATGAATTTCCAGTCAGTCTGAAGCTGAACGTTGGATGGGATTAGAGAGATCATAAACACATCTTAGTTTCCTTCTTCAACAGCTAGGAAGTGACTGAAATGGTGGGTAACGTTTGTGGTGCACAACACAGACCGAGTTCAGAAGGTGTGCCAGAGCATCCTCAAAGGACATGAACGTTTAGTATAAAGAGAGTTCCCAGCGCTCCAGCTCGGGTCTTGCATTCATCATGCATGGGTACACTTTAAAACTTCAGAAATTCACTTTTTCCATTTAAACTTCACCACCAGCAAGAAAAATAAAGCCAGCCTACATACTGAGGCATACTCTTTAAGTTATAATAGAATATTTCTTGTTTGAATAAAGAAACTTATGAAAATTATTTGGGCCTATTCTCTCCTCTAAGTAAAATAAATATGAGAAACATAACACATGGAATGCACTCTAGAAAATATATGTCAACATTTCATAATTAATGACACTGCAAATAACAGAGTAAGGCTCAATTCCGTGCCTTATAAATTATCGACAATGTGCAGTGTCAAGGGAAAAAAAAATGCACCAAATATTTCAAAAATTAAATTAACTTAATGAGAGGAGTGAAAAGTGACTGTGAACCCAAGTGTCTAGGGCAGAGGGCTTTTATTTCCCGCTGGTGCGTGACCGAGTCTGTGATATGTGGTAATAGCAATCTGCTGGATTGCATCTCCCGTTGGGTCCAGGTGGCCCCTGCGGTCCGGGTGAGCCTGGCGTTCCTGGAGGGCCTGGCAGGCCAGCAGCTGGTAAAACAAAGTTAGAATTAGCAGAGTCCTCACCAGAGTGCATGCAGTGCCCCCCGATTCATCTCTAGAGTCAGCGGCACGCCAGCTCAGCGGCGAGAAGGCAGACAGGTCTGACCTCACGCTACAGCCAAGCTCGGGAGGAAAGGCACGGGTGTAAAACTGGTGTGAAACCCAGGAGAAACCCCTGTTAGTTAATAAATAACAATAGCAGAAATAAATCTGCAGACTTGTACCTGCAGGGCCGGGTGGTCCAGGGTTACCAGGCAGTCCAATTCCAGGCTCGCCTCTTTCCCCTTTCTGTCCTCTATAACCTACAGAATAAAGATATGAAAATAAGAGTGTCCCCTTATTACAGACAGTGATCTACCCCATATCTTGTTGACAGGAAATTATCAACATAAATGTAATTGGGAAAACACATGCTGACTTCTTTTTCTGAGACTGGCATTTTTTCTGAGACAGCTCTTAGGTTTCTAAGTCCCTTCTGCAAAATATGAGCATTTCTAGCAGTAACCATTGCCTCATCTGCCAGAGGACTCTTGCTACATTCACGAGTCAGACCCCTTTCCCTGAGATTTTAAATTACTTTCCCGAAGTTCCTCTAATAAAGAACCAAATGCTTATTCTGCTCCAGTGTTACCCATTTGACGATGTGATGTAAAGCACCAACCCAAAGGTCACCTGGAGTGTGACCAGCCCTTCTCTGATAGCCCACAAACTAAGTGAGACTTTGCCCTCTTTGCTCTACATAAAACTTTAAGTTTGCACTTTTGAGACCGTAAACCGGTAGTTGTATGCTTAGATATTCCCCTGTATGTGAGAGAAGACCTGTTTCCCCTCCAGCATTACACAGCTGCCCTCATGTGGAATTAAGCGTCTTTATTGCTTGTGCAGATTTCGGGTTCTAGCATGCAAGGCCTACTTGGAGCCAAGTGGCTGTATATTGTCAACAAGGTGTGACTACTAATTATAGTTTGAATATCTGTGTCCATTTTCTTCATAGGCCAAAGCTTTGTATTTATCTAAATAGCTTCCATCTTCTCAGGTGCTGCAACTCATACCCAACCTCTGTTGCTTTTTCCCTGAACTGTTTTTAAAAAGTTTTATGAGTTGGAAACACTCTGTGCATCCTCGTGGCTATTGGTATAACATTTTGCTTAACATTTCAAGTTAAGAATCCATCTACAAATATACCTTTTCTCTTTAGACAATGTAATTTATGTAGAACAGGGGATGAAGGCATTTTTAAAGGAACAAGTGTGAAACCTGCCCCAACCCCTTACTTTAAAAGGGATTATAAGGAAACCCTCTTCCCTCCCCAACACCTCAGATGTTGGCTTGTAAAGTGACATATGTTGCAGATTAATTTGGCAACTTCTGGTCACATTTAGAATGAAATTTGTTCTGCATCAGGGACCAGTATATTTCTAGTGTTGTGTATGCCATATAATAAACTTCATCTTGTGAAGAGCTGTAACTTAATTTGAATTAAGAGAATTGTCACGGCTGACCAGTCAGCATAGTGGTATCAATCCATCTGATGTCTCATGAAGATTAATGGGTACTGCCAGATGGATGGCAAAGGTTGTCTTGTCAGGGTACTGCGGTCTGTGGCAACACTGGTACTTTACAGGACAATCCAGAAGGAAACTACTGTAAGTGCTGCAGGGACCAATTCAGTGCTGCTATGACAGACACAATGCAGTAGGAATGGTACACAGACTATTCAAGCTTTCCATTAAATACAAGCTCATTATACACCTCAGTAGAAAGTCTATTACCTGTTGCAATCATTCTAGGTTTCAAAACAGAGCATCGATTACGTTACTCTTCTCCTAGCACCCCAACAAGGAAATTACAGTGAGGCAAAAACATTAGAAAATGCATGCAGAGTGACATGCTTAACACAACAAAAGGAAATTAACTGTTTAAAACCTCACAGAGAAACAAACTTAGTATTAATCACGCATTCGGGTCACCAAGCTGTGTTAAAAGCAGAACTGTACAAGGCACATATGCACACAAGCTATAAAGACTCAGAAAAGGGTATATGCAGGTGTTTGTATTCAACTGAGAATCTTGATTTTGCTCTTTAATGGCCAGAGTAGTATTTATAACTACATCAGGTTGGTTTGCTCTGAAAATCTTGTGTAACACAGAGTAGTTGTCACTGTTTGAGAAGCTCAATCATACAACCACAGATTTATTACATTTCCTATTTATTATATACATCCCTATGTTTCTTAATTTACAATAGACAGTTACAGTACAAACCCAGTTATTTGTAATTTTACAAAGTAGTGCTGCCACTAATCATTTGCTTTGCATTTCTTTAGTTATGGGGAAAGAAAGACATTTACGATATATCACATTTAAAATATTCATTAATGTAGATATCTGAGACACCACAATTGAAAAGGGACTGAGATAGACCGAAAGATTCTGTAAACATCACTGGAATTCAAGAAAATAAGGAAAAAAAATCCCAACACAAGAGGACAAAGCAGTATGCCAATGCAAATATATGATCCAGGGCAATGTAAACAATTATTGGCTGTTTCTGAATACACTTGCAAAGGTGCAGTTTGTACACAGCGGCAGGTAAATTCTGTCGACACTGAAGTTTAACACAAAAATTCCCAGATTTCTTTTCTTTTTTTAAATAAGGCTTTATTTAACAGGGTGTAACCGTATCGGTAAACAGGCCTATATGTAAACAATCCAAACAAAGTAATGTGTAATTCTGGCAGGAAAATATATTATTTTTTAATGAGGTATATATTGCTCAGAAGTAGGGCCATGATTACACTTCTAGAGGATAATATCACCTTCTCTGAGCTAAATTGACACACACAGTCAAAGGAAAATATTACCATACACATACATCAGATTTTTGTTTACTGTTTCTAATGTAAAGGCACATATAAGATGCTGCCTATTTTGTACTGACAGAATCACAATTCCAGTAAGAGGTACCTGCTTAATTCACAAGACGACTGCTTTAGCAAAACTTTTCAACTGGGTTCAACAAGTTTTGTTGTGATTTCTGCAACCCAAAAGCTGTGGTATGTAAACATGTACCCAATGTGGGTAATACGGTAAATGCTTGGTAGCAGTATGTAGCAAGTATGTGTTCAAACGGGTGAGCTTTCTTCTGCTCATAGGTGAGTCGTGATAGCTAAAATAGAGCTGGGTTTGGTGCTCTCCACAAACATCACGGTCAGAAGTATCACTACCACAGCGCCCTCAGCTCTACTTAGAAATGACCCAAGTTCATGTCTATGAACTTGGAGGTAAAAAGTTCTCTCATTTAAACAGTTCCAAAATGTGTTCCACCTATGTCATGGAGTCCCTCTTCCATCCGCATGAATAAAGCAGCACCTGAAACTAGCATGTCAAGTATCTACAGAAATCTGAGGTTCTTTAACACAAATATGAGGCAAAGACATTACCGTGACAGTGAACAATGAGACCAAAGTATCCACTGTGTTTTACTGTGCAAATACTCAGTGGAGTTAATTGATCTAGATCCTCTAACACGTGACAAGCTGACTGACCATTTGCAAATGGATGACATTGCTACAGCTTGTCTATAAAGTCTTGAAATAAACTTCCTGTTTCTCTATGAGACATTAGCATCCTTTAAAACACATACAGAGTAAACAAGTTTCTCTGCTCCCCCTTAAGCAGATGCTGTACATTTCACTGGTAACACTGCCTCACAACATCAGCTTGCTGACGTATATGCTATAGGTTACTTTTTTAAAATGAAGACATATATATAAAAATCTTCCAATCACTATTATATGAAGACTGTTTAAATATCAATTGCATGTTTCATAATTTAAGTTGCAATTAGTTGTTGTTTTTCGCTTGCATGCTATATTTTTATTGAGACCATCTTATAAAATCAAAATTATTTGTACCTGAACCACTGGGGAGTACCTGAGATACACTCTGAGCAACCTTGCTGAAGGCCAGCAGGTAACTATTCTGGACTTCATTAGAAATTAATGACTCCATGCCCAAGAGTCTAGCAATTCCTTAAATACACTTTTTGAAGACCATGCCTACAGTTCCAAAAGCTATTATCTATGTTTGCTGCTGCTGGGACTAACCTCTACCTATTGATTTGCTGTGCAGAAAGAGGCTCTGGTGGAACTCAGCCAAGTCCATACCAGACCAGTCCATACAAGACCATACCAGAACTGGTACCACACCCAAGGCATACAGAGGGACCCGTGCAAAGCTGCAAGTTAAGCACCTGTTTGGATACACAGTGACCCTGCCTCTCCCCCTGGCTGGCTCTAGCAGGCTCTGCTCAGCATGCAGCATCACAAATAGGTTTTGGAGGTGTTCCTAGAGGTCCTGCTAATTGTTCTCCAAAAGTATCTACTTCTTTTCACTGGTTGTATGGGACAACTGTTTCACTCTGCCAGCCTGCATGTGTATGTAAACAGCAAAACCCTGGAGCTGGCAATCTGGGCTACACTCAAGTGAGAAATGTAATGAGGAGTATCTGTCAGCCAATATCAAATGTGTATTATGACTTGGGCATACGTGCACACAGCATGCTACCTTGATGGGCTCAGCCACACATGCACTTAACATGCTTCTCCAGGAATCCTGGTATGCTATGCCTTTTATGGCTGAAAATAAGATGGAGTATGGAAGGACACTTTTCAATCTGCTCCGAGATTTAAATTGCTTTTTACTGTTGGCACAAAACAATAACACGCACAGGCACAACTGGGAAAGGCATTAAAGGGTATTTGTAAGTGTGCTTCTGTCATGGCACTACCCCTTAGTACAGAGTGTTCAAAAGCAGGCGAGACAAATTTTTGGTTTTCTTTCCTTGGAAGTATAATTTCATATATCTTTTGACGTATCAGAGAAGTAAATGCTTCTCACTTATCTTACCTTTTACTAATCAAAAAAGAATATTGAGCATATCAGTAAAATAAATTGAAACCCTGTGTACATGGGGCACTACTTTTACTTAAGAATAAGGCATGAAAAAGCAGCTTTATTTATTTTTCAAGCATAGCTATCATCTTTACTCTTGATGCTCACTAGCTAGAAATGAAGCCTAGTACAACGTTCCACTTCCCAGAAGCATCTAAGACTATCCACCACATACATCATCATTTGAACAATCTGGCACTGACATTGAAGTTGACTGTTTACAGTGATCTGAATATTTAGGTAATGATGAAGTCAGTGTTGTAAGATTCTAAGCCTTTCATTGCATTTCTTGATCCTTTATTCTTGTTCTTCTCATTCTGAGCTCCTCACATTTTTCAAGCTTCTGTCAGGGGTTTGCGCTTAGCAATGTTAGTAAGTCTTTATTCTTCTGATAGCTTTAGGATCCACACATCTTCAGCTTTGCTCTCATGTTCTTCATTCCAGTCTGACTTGCTCTGACTCCAGAGCAGACCAAACTAACAAAAGATAATAAAGAACTACCTACAGATAAACTGCAAATTACATATTACCCACCAACAAAATATTATTCATAAATAAACTCTTTTTTCCTGTTGTTCTCTTCTCCTCTTCCTCTTAATCTCTGAGAGGCTGACTCTACAGTAGAGCACATCTACAATAAGCCTGGATCCCTTGAAGCTAATTTTGCAGTGAAAGACAACTTCAGTGAAACGAGAGTCCTATACTGTCCAAATGCATTGCAACGTTCAAATTACAGTTTGGGGAACAGTGAAAAGCCGAGTACTCTGAAACTGATTTGTGAAAATAGATTACTTCACTGTAAGAAGAGTTCACGTTGTAATATTTCAGTTTTCACTGCTTCTTAAAGAATAATATTTGCCTTCAGGTTTTCCTGCCCTGTGTTGTCTCAGGATTAGAGCTGAGAGCACTCAGACTTGGAGATGAAATTTTGTTTCTTAAGATGGTCTCTCAATATAGAACAGGACCTAAACAGTTACATTAGAGTGTTGGCATAGATCTCTTCCTTGTTAAAGTATTTTGGAGAAAAAAAAAATAACCTGCTACAGTAGTCTAGATATCTGTCAGTAATTAACTTTATCACTTATTAGAATAAAATGCACTGATTAGGAGTTTTTAATCAGTAAAATCCACACACTTACTATGGGTTAATATTTAGATCTAGTCTGCAAAAATATAAGTACAGTTTTAAAAGTTAATCATTAGGAAGCTAGATAGGTAATCCTGGCTTATTTAAAATCATTAGCAAGTGTTTAAAGATTTCAAGATATAATTCAGGGCAACATTTTTTTTAATTCTTACCTTGAATTCCACGTTCTCCTGGTGGCCCTGGCAAACCATCCTTTCCTGGTGGCCCTGGTAACCCATCTTTTCCTGGAGGCCCTGGTTTTCCATGAGCTTGAGAGGCAAGCATTGCAGCAGGCAGCTTCAGCTGGGATACAAACTGAGCCATCCTTTCTTCATGAACAAAGGACACAAGAAAAAGCGGGTAAGAAATCTGCTAGCAAACTATGGGAAAATAAATAAAACCCAAAGCCCCAGCTAGAGTAAGTTTCTGGAAGTAAGGCATTTAATTATTCTAAAAGTCAAGATACTAAATGCTCCCACAACTTCTGAGGCCTTCAGTTCCAACTCAGACTCATGTCTTTCTTTACCCTTGGAAATCATCTGAATGAATTTGTATTCAGGTTTCTACTCCTACTGTCTTTTACTAATGTATTCTAATTTCAAATGACTTCCGACTCCTGTTCATGGAAGCACTTAAAATACATGAACACAGAATAATTAGTACTTAACATCCCTATGAAGGGCTACCTTATATGTTGCTATGTATCTACATGTTGCTATATGTACCTATATAAGTTGCAAAGTAGAGCTTAAATACCATGAACAGTTCTTGGAATATGCTGAAACCCTGAAAACAGTTGTGAAAAAACCTGTAAGTGCTTAGCAAACATTATTAACTGCAGAGATTTCAGCATAAACTCTTCATGCTGGTGGAATAAAAGGCACCCAGTAACTTTTCAGTGTTCCTTAGAGGTAGACAAAATAGGTACTAACCTTGAATCTGTCTCATTTATACCAGATGAAAGAACTTAACTAAGCATTCCACAATTTAGCAGGTATTTACTGTGATGGAGTTTTAAGATTTAGAAAAAAAATAGCATAAAGAGAAGAGTGGGCATCGAACAAAAAGTAAGCAAGGTGATAAGAAAAAGGCAAAGTGAAACAAAGCCAAGAATAGAAGAACTGTGGGAACACCAGTGAGCTGTAGAAAATGGAATAGCTATAAAGAAAAACCCCAGTATTCCCTGTAGGCAGGACACCTTTTAATACCTTCTTTTTACGAATAGACTAAATACTTGCTACCATTCTATCTGAATGGGAAAAGGAGGTAACTTCAGTCAACAAACTGCTCCTGGAATACATAGCATTGAACTCCTAAGGGGTAGCAGTCAGGGCAAGGGTGAAAACACACAAAATGATAGCTTTGTTATAAAGTGAAAAACTGCCCGAACAGTTTAAAAAGTCTCAAGCTTTATATGATTTCTTTTATTCCTAAAATGCAAAACGTTTTGTATCCACAAATGTTAATGACCAAACAGCTAAGCATATTGCAGACATAAGAAATGCATTTTGCAACGGAAGAGGTGTTGCAGCAGAATCTTTCAGACACCTACCTGAGCCACAGGTTTTCAACCCTGACTAAGAAAATGCTGGGGAAGAAAAATATTTCCTTTTCAGAGTACGAACACACCTAAGAAAGCTTATGTAGTACAAAGGCCTTGGCTGAATCTGGTACTTGCCTAAAACTGTGCCAGAAAATGGTGGTCTGCAAGTGAGCTTTGGAACTCACAGGGATGTTTGCTGAAAATGCACAGCAGTTTAGACCTGTATGACTGAAAGCTGTCAAGACTTTCTCTCATTTAGAGAAATCATCCACTAAGTGGCCAAAAGAATTACCTATTTCTATTGTCTCCACTTGAATAAATCTTCAATGTCTTAATGATATATTGTAGATACATATATGTATTTACAATGATACATACATATGTTTGCTATTATGATTTGGAGCAAACCCCTTAATGCTCTTCTCTTACGTAAGGAAATACTCTGGTTAACAGATACCATAACTTATAACTGTTTGAACATAATTATATTAAGTAGACAAACAACAGTTAAACAGCTGCAGCAACAAGGCAGCTGCTAAGTTCAGTGTAAGTTAGACGACATGTAAAGAAATGTATATAAAGGCTGTAGAGATGTAAAACGTTTAGAAGAGAATTTAGTATTTATCTTTAGTTGTATATTTCTGTATTATAATTTTCTTACCTTCAAAAACCTTAAGAACTTCTTGTTTGATATATTTTTTAATTTCTTCAAGTGAAACTGTGTCAGCCTGATGAGGAAAAAAAAGGTGATATGTATCAGAAGAAACATACAGAGGGACTTTATGATGCTACATAAATTAAAAAAAAATGCTGAAATTGGCATTAAAAACGTAAAGCTTTCATCAAAACTTAAATATTTGAATATATTTGTGTTATTTACTTAATTGCAAAGACCACTTTATAGCAAATACATTGTATTATAAAGACCACTAATACCATGAAGTGGAAGAGGCACTCCCAATGTCAAGATGATCATCAGGTTATGTATATGGAAATTAATTTGCATCATATAGGAATGTCCAGTGACACCACTATGCTTTATTTGCCTTTTGCATAGCATTTGCCAGCTTCTCACTCCTTCTAGGGACTGACTGCTTCAATGAGCAGCCGACAACTAAAACTGCATCACAGAACCACCACCGGATAAGTTTTTTAGCGTTTTACCCTATCTGACTGAGGGTTAAAGGAACTCATACCATGGATGTGTGCCTGTGCACACGTGGAGACAATCCAAGATATCTACAACTGACAGGCAGCATTTCGTTGTCTTTTTAAATGCTAATTTCCCTTTTATTGAGGATCATTTTTGTCTGCCTCCTTTCTCAGTTGTAAAGATTTACACTTTAACTCTTAAGCTGATGAAAAACTTGAAAATTAACGGTATTGAGTAGACATTAATTTGTCAGGAGCTAAAGAAATAAGTATTTGAACTTTATCCATAGCACATGCTTAAAAAAATCCCCAAACTGCTTGATCCCCTGGGAATATTTTTTCCAACTCTTAACACTGATTATTAGCTCACAGATCTCTTAGTTTTTCTGGCACTGTGGTATTGCTCATCTGAATTTCCACTGCTCATCACGTGCTACCTTCATGTTGTCTGAATTCACAAGCAACCAAGGAAAACTTGTATTTACTTACGGGAAACCCTGGGGGTCCTGGTGAACCTGGGGGACCTTGATGACCTGGTGACCCTGGGTAACCTCTGTCTCCTGGTGGCCCAACAGGACCCACATCCCCCTTTTCTCCTGATGGGCCAGGTTTCCCTCGTTCACCTTGTGGACCTTTGTCACCTGGAATACCCTGATCTCCCTGTGTAAAATAAAAGCAGAAAGAAAACCATTGCACACAGTGGAATGAACTAGGAAAAGTCACCCAAGAATGCTAAGGAGAAAATTCTTCCCTGTTCAGAAATAGATTTTATGAGTCATGTAGGGAAGCTGATTTTACAGGCTAACCCTTGTTTCTGAAAACACAGCAAGTAACATTTTGTTTTGTTACACTTTTAATGTTGAAGTCAATAACAAAAATAAATAGCTTGACTCTGTAACCCACTTTTCAAGGGCAGAACTTCAGTGCAGAAAGTCTATAGCCCTTATACAAGGATCTAGAAATGTCAAATAAGGCACAGGTAGAATATAGGTGCTCAAATTCCCCCAGGCACAAGGCACTAGGCTTTTTTTTTTTTTTTCTGTAACTTTCCCTAGAAGCCTAATATTTTATTTCTGCATGTACAGAATAATAAAATAAATTATAAAAATAATAAATAACCCAACAGATACACAATTCCGTGAATTCCTTGCAAACAAAATAAAGGTCAATGTTCTGAACAGCAACAGCTTCCATCATGACTAAGATGGCATTTAATTTTGTTTCTGAGGAATTAAATCTTTTAGAGTGACTTAATGTATCAGCCATTAATTCACTCAACTACAGCTGTGGAGAAGAGTTCTTCAAGTAAAACGTTAGATTGTTACTGAACAGCTGGCAGTTCTTAAGGATCACTGACTGCCCTTGCTGCATCACTTAAGCTAATGTTAGGCTTCACCATAAGCAGCAAACAGCACCAAAAATCGATTAAAGTATTACTAGATATATCCAGGATCTACATTTATGAAGGGTGAATGAATGGAAATAATTTCATTCTTAATCCACAGCAAGTGCTGGTGAACTGTATTCAGATCTGAAACATCACTGAATGATAAACCAGTAAAAAGTGTAGTTATATTCTTATGTCATACGAATTTGAAATCCTAAGAATTTTAAGTCATAAATTTACATGATATGTAAAGACTGGAAAAGAAAGGTAAGGATGCAAGTATGAGTTTGTGTAACATCTATCACCTATCTATCCTCCCATCTGTATGATCTCCAGTGAGTTAGAGCTGACTATAACTAAGCTTCATTGCAGAGACCACTGCTACTTGTGATCCTTTATTGCATTAAACAAAACCATAACACATGGAGTTTAAACTGTCCTCAGTAAGAGCACAGAGGCTCTGAACTCTGAAAGTCTACCACAACAACAACAAAAAATGGTGTCAAAGTCTGAAAGTTTATCATCTCACACCTACAATGTTAACCTCTGCAGTGGATTCACCTTGTCTGACAGCCAGGTTACCCACCCAGCCTCTCTCTCACTCCCCTTCCTCAACAAAACAGGGAAAGAAAATGAGATTAAAACCTTGTGAGTCCAGATAAGGACAGGGAGATCACTCACCAATTACTGTCAGGGGAAAACAGACTGAACTTTTGGAAGATTAATTTAATTTATGGTGAATTAATAACAGAGCAGGGTAATAAGACCTTCCTCTCGACCCACCCTCTTTCTTCCCAGGCTCAACTTCACTCGTCACTCTACAACTTCCTCCCCTTGAGTGGTGCAGGGGGGTGGGGGTTGCAGTCAGTCCTTAACACTTCATCTCTGCTGCTCCTTGCTTCCCACTTTCTTGTTCTGCTCCAGCATGGGATCCTTCCCATGGGATACAGTCCTTCACAAACTGCTCCAGTGTGGGTCCTTCCCATGGGCTGCAGTTCTTCAGGAATGGATTGCTTCAGTGTGGGTCCCCCATGGGACACAGTTCTTGCCTGAAAACCTGCTCCTGTGTGGGGTCCTCTCCATGGACCGCAGGTCCTGCCAGGAGCCTGCTCCAGCGTGGGCTCTCCATGGGCTGCAGCTTCCTTCAGGGCACATCCACCTGCTCCGGCGTGGGGTCCTCCCCGGGCTGCAGGTGAGTCTCTGCTCCACCGTTACCCCCCAGGGGCGCAGGGCACAGCTGCCTCACCATGGGCTGCACCACGGCCTGCAGGGGAACCTCTGCCCCGGTGCCTGCAGCACCTCCTGCCCCTCCTCCTGCACTCACCTTGGGGTCTGCAGAGTTGTTGCTCTCACATTTTCTCACTTCTCTCTCCCAACTGTTGCACAACATTTTTTTACCCTTTTTTACCACACAGGCAGTGTGTATCACTGATGGGGTCAGCTTTGGCCAGCAGCCGGTCCATCTTGGAGCTGGCTGGAATTGGCTCTGTTGGATGTGGGGGCAGCTCCTGGTGTCTTTTCACAGATACCACCCCTGCAGCCCCCATTATGAGACCCCTGCCACATAAACCCAATACCATGTGTCAAACTACTAACATGATCACATAATCAGGGAAGTCAGTGTGACATGGAACAATCTCAGCATGATTACACTTACTGTGTTTCTCTTAACAGACCTATCCTGCCGATACTGCAAATGCCTGATTTCCAGCTTTCATTTCCGGGCATTAATACATTGGGCAAATCTCTAAATATGCAGCATATGAATGATTCCCAACAAACACAAGGCTAATATAGCTGTTCCGTAGAAAAAAGACATGATACGATGTGATACCCAAAAGACACCTGTAACCCTTGTCAATGACCCTCAAGTTTTCAACAGTCGATGGGAACAGGAAAGGGAGCGTATGTACACTGGGGGAACTGGAAGAGTAATGCTCTGATGGAAGGGGTGTACCTTTCTAGCTTTCTGTGAATTTTAAAATTTACAGGAAAAAGTGTTCTGTCCTGCATAAGCTATTGTATCAGGATGTGTATTGCAACACCTTGAGAAATTCAGGGCAGAGAAAGGATTCTGACTGAGTAGCAGAACTTTTTGTAGTCTGCAGAGAAGAGGCTCTTTCCTGGCCTTAACAAAGTTTATCCATCCAACCTCCATCTCCTACTTTACTCATAGCAATGTGACACATAAAGTTGAAGAACAACCCCTGCTGTACCATTGCAAAACTTGAAAGAAGTATAGCCTTTAATATAATTTTCATTTTAGTTACTTTTTTTGAGATTGAAGTCCAGTATAGGGAGCCACTGAACACAACATTTTGTCTGATAGCACTTTAAAATGAGACAACCCACATGCATGTACTCACATGTATAAAAAAAAAGCTGAAGGTTACTGTACTTACAAGAAGCTTTCATTAAAGATATATTTAAAGCATAAATATACATATATAATTTCTCAGGTTTATAACCCTGCAGAGTAGGTATGGTTAATTATTCTACTAGAAATAAAGAAAAATGCAGGTTTCTCTAACATCATGGTGCTACGGCAGTGTGAAGCTGACCCTGGAATTGCTTTTCTTCTAAATTATTCCCATTTTACAGGTGGCCAATGTGTAGGAGGCAAATCAAATACTACAGCCACTTCTCAAACAAGCATTTTTTCAACTGCCTCCAGTGTTTGTGTTTGGAAGAAACTCTTTGTAAAAATTCATAAAACTAGGTCGTATCTTCCTCCAGATTTCTCTCTCCTGTGAGAGAGACTCTCCTGTGCTATTAATTGTACAAAAACACAGGGTAGGATATTTGCATTTTGCTATCTCTGCCTACAGTGCTATTTATTCAGTCCTCCTCCTCTCATTGCTTGCATTTAACCTTGTATTAAATTCTGTGCAGAAGGAACTATTGTTTTGCATGGGTTTCTACATGTACTAGTCCAGCGGGCTCCTGGTCTTTGATCAAAGGCATGCAGATAACAGCAATAAATGAGCCAGCTACCAGTACTTTAATCTGCTGTTGAAATGACTTGAAAGACATATTGGTATAAACCCCATGTTTTCCACTGGTTTGTCACACAGTTTATAAAGTAGTAATAACAGCAGTGTTTAGTCACTCAAAGTAGGATTATTTCAGCTCAGGTGACTTCTTCCTTCTTAAAGCTGTTTTTACAAGGATATATTTATATTAGACATGAAAACCTCAAGAGTTTTATTCTGTTCTTCCAATTTTGATGCTTTTCTGTAATTGCAACAGTTGGTGTCAAACTGAATGAGTGTGCTGGTACAGCAGTAATAATAATGGCTACAAGAAAACCTTGACTTTGTGTTATTTTCTGTAATCATTGCAATCTCCCTCAGATGCAGGTCTTTAATACCTGATCCAGTGGGGAAAAAAAAAAATCAACTGCAATACCCCCCGATCTCTTATCCAAGATGCAGACTTCTGCTGTGTATGTTGTTGTTATTTCTTTGTCAGATCTCCCCTTGTTTTCAACAACATTTTCTGTTCCTGCATAATTGTAAAGGACAACTGTCAGCTTTCTGAAAACTGTATTCAGATACTGCATTAGGCATATTTGTAACCTTCTTGTTATAAAAGCTTGTGAGAGATTTTGATTATCACTTGAGACAAAGATACTTCTGGAAACTGATTTATTTTTTAACACATATCTATAAATTTATTTATACTTATATAAGTGTGTGTATTTATTTCTTTTACTCTGTAAAGAGGGAGCTAGATTGTGACATGTTTGCCAGTGATCCCAGATGTGAGAGCAGATTCAGGCATCCGTCACCTCTCTGAGAGCAAGCATATATCCATATTTACATCTATAGCTACATGTACACATGTGTATGTATGTACTCTGTCACCAGTGAGACTGGAATAAATACACCCTCTTCTCTTACCCTGATGCTTCCCAGGCTTCACTCTGATGAAGCAAGTTAAGGTTGTGTCTCTGTTTCTCACAGACTTTTTCAACATCCTCCTCCCTATGTTTCAAGGTCATGCACTTACAGGTCCAGCCTCCTCTTCTGGATGTATGTGTACAGTACTGTTTGTAGGGTATTCAGATAGGCTGACACTGAGAAGGTGAAGGCTGAGTGGTGTAATGCAGTACGCAATAGGTGGTACAATAAGAAGGTTTTTACTTTTTACTTTTGTCCTTAAAGTAAAAGTAAAGTTTTGTCCAGAAAGAGAACACTGCAAAATGTTAATTTTTTTAAGGGACAATTCATGTAATAATGGCCTGCTCGGTGTCATAAAGCAGCATTTCCTTTTCCAGATTAGACAGGTGCTTTTCTGATTGATCAAATAAATGTGGTATCAATTGGATTAGGACATCAGGGCTTTAGCAATATTACAACAGGAGCAGAGTATGTGCTATGACTCCCTTTGCTCTACAAATAAGAGAGTTTCTCACCTTCTGTAATGATTCCTGCCCACCATGATCTTGTTACCATGAACAGAATTGTCTAAATATTTTGGGAAGCAGTAAGGCATTGCACTGGCATTCCTGCTGCCTGAGTGTAACAAGCTTGTTTTATGCAAAACATGGTTTGTGTGTGACATACAAAGATCCCAGGGATGATGCTGGGTTAATCGTTATAGATAGCTCTTGCAAAGTCTGACAGCATCACAACAGGATTAGCTACTTTCCAATTTTCAACCTATTGATCAATTTATGCTGTCCAGGCCAACTCTGTTAGAAAGTCTATAAAATGTGTTTTCTAAATGCAGAAGCCAATTCAATTCTAATTCCTTAAAGTGGTGTCTATGACTAAACCTCTTAGTTGTCCAAGAGACTGTTGAAAGTTCGCAGAGAATTAATTTCTTGGTTTTGCCTGGGAAATATGAATTGATGAGGTTCTTACATACTCAGTAAAAAGAAAAAAAAAATTAAAGCAAGTAACTTACACGTTCTCCTTTGGGTCCTCTGTCTCCTGGTCTCCCCACAGCACCCTGAAAAATTGTTTTTGAAAATAGACAAACATATTACTTAAAGGTTTGGGTTTTTTTGTATATTCATCTATTAGCAGAACTGAAAGCAACTGCCTAGGATTAACAGCTATGTTATTTGTGAAGAATAAAATATACTAGCATGCAAAAGCACGTTTTCCTACCGGAGGACCTGGCAATCCATCTTTTCCGTTGATTCCCTATAAAAAAACCCATAACAATATAAATATGCTTATGGATATGCATTTTAAAAATATAAAGCTCAATGTTTAGTGGTGATTTCAGTATATATTCTGAAGCTGCAGGGGCGGCAGTGTGGTTACTATATAGAAATACAAATAGAATTGAGAAGTGAAATAACAGAGCTCAGGGTGGTACTGAACTGCAAGCATATTAAATATGAGCTGAGAGCAGAGCAATAATCATCTTCAGCATCAAGGTGTGCATGAACTTTAATGGGCACAAAACTTTCAACGACGAGTTATAAGGAAATTCTGCAAACATGGAATATGGACCCATACATGCACTTTTCTAGTTCCAGATAGTCATCTAACCATATAACTGTACATATTAGCCCTGATGCTCTATTACCCTTCTGCTGTTACAGAGATTATGCCTTAATAGTAAGTGTCCAGATCCATTCTTTTGTTGTTAGGACTTGTGGCACAGCACAGCTTCAGCCTTCTGGGCTAAACATATTTCCTTCCCAAAAGAGGGTGGTCTCACTCATACCACCTGCTGCAAACAGTCCCAGGCTCACATTATCCCCCAACGGGAATGTGGCATTATCTGAGAGTCCTAGTTGGCATGGGCTAAACACATGCTAACAATTGCACAATGACAGATAATTGCTAGATAAATGCTCTGCATGGTTTAATTTACTAGGATATATGTGTATCTGCGTATGCAGCAAAGTCACAGCTGTTTCACTGCGTGAGAAAGAAGGTCTTGCATCAGGGAAGACATCAGGAATATTTCCTTCCCTCTCATACTGCAAAGCAGAGTTTTGCACATATGAGCCACCTTGGGCCAAGCTGCTGCTGAAGTTACAGAAACTGTCTCTTCTTTCGAGACAGAAGCATAATGTGGAGATGTGCTGACAAACTGAAATGGTCTGCTTCTCAAGCTTGTCCCCAAAACATCAAGCTTTGGGGAAGATAATGAGTTCTGTGTTATCCTAGCCGAAGCACTTCTAGAATATAAACTAGGTTGTTTTAAACCAGCTCAGACAGTGCTGACTACACTGCTGTCACACTTCTGTTAAATAAAGAGGTCAGATTAGACATAGCCTAAGTGAACAGCAAATGCTTCAGCTGCCGTGCTGCATCATCTGTATACAGAAGTGTTATGAAGTTTTTTTCAGAGTCACAAAGCACACACTTCTCTATCTAAACTGAAACAGAGAATGCGTTTTGTCACCCCATCCTTTATGGACTGTGCTGAGTATCTGGGTTAATATTCTCCTTCTGAAAAACACAAGAGGATCCTTCATGTCAGCAGGATCCAAAGGACCTTTAAAGGCAATATCTCAGTAACAATAACTACTAAAACACCACCATACCAGGAATTTTTGACTGGATGGTTAATATTGAGCACTGAAGGTCTAAGAGTTCTTCATATGTTACCTACTTAACACAAGGCAGGGTGTAATCTCATTTATTTTGTAACTTCTGAAAAATTAAGACACATCTTTTTGTAATGAACATATATATTCAGTATAAAATTGCTTACTGGTTTTCCTTGTGGCCCTTCTGGCCCAGGGAAGCCTATATCTCCTATAGGTCCTCTTTCACCCTAAGAAAAAGAAAACACACATATAAATCTGCATGTAAAACCTTGCATTCAGTGTTTAAAATATTTGTGTATTCATAAGACTCCAAAACTTAAATCTGTACTGTGATGGTTTGACTCTGGCTAAATGCCAGGTATCCACCAAGTCGCTCTATCACTTCCCCACCCCACCCCCTTTCCCCTTGTTTTCTCAATAGGGTAAAGAGGGGAAAGAAGATAAACTAACCCTTGTGGGTGAAACAAAAGCAGTTTTAATATAAGCAAAGCAAAGCAAAAGTCCGCGCGCGGAAGCAAAAGCAAACAGATTTAGTCTCTACTTCCCATGGACGGGCGATGTCGGGCCTTCTCAGGAGCAGGGCTCCCATACCCGTAGTGGTTGTCTCGGAGGACCAAGGGTGACCCCACCCCCTTCCTCCTTTCTCCCAGCTTTATGCTGAGCAGACGTCACATGGTCTGGAATATCCCTTTGGTCGGTTTGGGTCAGTTGTCCTGGCTGTGTCCCCTCCCAAGATCTTGCCCACCCCGTCCCACTGGGGGAAATATCAGAAAGAGCCTTGGTGCTGTGTAAGCACTGCTCAGCAGTAGCCACAACACCAGGGTGCTACCAACACCCTGCCAGCTCCCAGCATAAAACACAGCACCGTGAGGGCTGCTGTAGGGGAAAACCAATTCCAGTTCAGCCAGACCCAGTACATGTACTTACAGGTTCCCCTGGCATCCCTGGGGATCCGGGAGATCCCGGTTTTCCCTGCAAAAAGAGAACATTACAAATTCAAATTACTAGGAAGCAAAACATAATTTGTCCTAGGTCAAAAATAAGAGAAGATATATATTTGAGTGAAATATTCATGTTACTGTTCATTAAATGCTTTAAGAGAGGAATTATTGTTTTTTTATATATCTGTGCCATGTGAATCTGGCTCTTGTGTACAACATAATTCAATCACTTGGTCTTCTTTACCCTTTCTGAATACTGAGATAATGTTTTAATGACATTTTCTTTTACAACATCATGATTTCCTTCTTGAGAAGTAAGAGTCAGATCAAAGTTTATCACTGTATATGTGAAATCAAGATTCTTTCCTTCATGTACTTCCTAGTCCTTATTTTATTAAAGGTGAGTTTATTACTGACTTAATGCCTTTTGCAAATTTTCTTCCTGCTCTTTTTCGGTCACTTTTATTGTCATTTCATGTTCAGCCTTCCAGAATTCACAATCCTTTCTCATTTCATCATTTATATGTTTTTTTTGGTTTTTTTTTTTAAATGATGCCTTGCTTATAACAATCTATCTGGTTCAGCCTCAGACAAGAATCTGTTACTTTGAATCTATATTTCCCAGAAATATCCTTAGACTGGGTCCTCAGCTGACCTGTACAAGTGAGGGATCTAACACATCAACGCCAGTGACAACTTCAGGGACAAAAGGACTGAGGATTCATGCTGAGGAAATTAGCATTGGTGGCAATTCTTGCAGAATCTCAGTCCAAGCTTCCCTGATATCCTACTCAGCAAAAACTCAAAGCTAAAATGACAGGTTTATATTCTCAAATGGGAAAAAGGGTCCACTATTTAATCTAGGGAATAATGCCAGGCAAGGATGACAAATTATCTTCCAATAATATATGTGGATATATTTCAAAAACTCTTCAGAGACTACTGAAAAATATTGTTTCTCAAACATCTATTAATTTGTTAATTAAAACTGCTTAGCATAAAATGTTAAAGCAAGTAATTTATTTCAGTGGATTTTATTAGAATTAAATGTAATCAACAGAATGCCACTCCACCACTGATGAAGGGAACTCATTAAATATTTCACATCCAGTTAGAATAGAGAGCAACAATAATAAGACTTGGAACATATTCAGTGGGAAATACACAGGGAATGAACAACTGTGATCACCCTGACTGGCTACTGCATTATTGATTCACAGCATGAAATACATTTCAGAGAAACAAACTTTGAAACTCTTATAACATGGGCTATAAAACTCAGAGAAATAATACTCTTTTTCTCCTTAAATGTGCAATTTTCTTTGTTTTAGGAGAACTTAACTAAATTAAGCTATTTAAGCTGAAGTACTCTCTCGGAACTTACAATAAATGGACTAAATCAGTGGCTAATGGAAATGGGAGTGCATAGACACAAACTTCTCTTCGTTTCACAAAACACACATTTATAATTTAAAAACAGCTCCTGAATGGATTGGTAGCTGCCCAAATTTAATAATAAATGTATTTGCATATAAATAACTCCATATTGCCTGCTGAAATATGGATAAACCTTTTTATTAAACTGTGAATGCAATCTAAAAAAAAGTTGTCTTCATTTCCTTTAGGAACACAAATGAGTAATTATAATTTCAATTTATCATTAATTACATTTACTTTCACCTACAACAAAGTTTCTGGATGACTTTCAGAAACTTCTCTGAATACCACACGTAAATAGCTGACAAAGCATTCCCTTAAAGCAAATGTTTGATTGACTTGATATGCAGATACTAACTAATGTTCATAGTTTTTCTTTGTGATAGAAAGATGCTCAGAAATTTGTGCATGCCCAGGAACACAGAAAATATCTTTATCTATATTAAACTGAGACAATGAGAAGAATCTCATATGCTTTCTTAACTAAGCATATGCAGCTTCAAATTCCAACTTTATCATGTATTCACACATCATTCCTCCCATCACTTTAATAATAATATGAACTCTCTTTAGGAAAACCACATGATTTTCATAACTGCCTATAAAGCATTAGCCGAGCGCTGGTGATCCACAGTGATCAAGATTACAGCTCATCACCTTGCTTGACCTGTTTTTTCAGCTTCTAACAAACTGAGTTCTCTTCAATGAACATACGTACCGGTGTCCCTGCTACTCCTGGTGTGCCAGCTGGCCCACGGTCACCCTGAAGAAAAGATAAATCAAAACTTAAATGGTAACACTCAAAACAGAAGTTTGTTTGTGGACTCCCATTAAAACCTGAGGAAGGATTATTCAGTGAAGTGAAAATGAGGACAAGAGCCAGACTATGCTAAACGCTAATATTTAGCTCTGCCACTGACTCATTATACAGACCTGAGCAAGTAACTTAAATCCTTTGTTTAGGTTCTCTTGTATAACGTAATAATTTTCATGCTATTCCTTCTCCTCTGCTTAAGGCCTTCCTTGAAAAGGGGTGGAAAGTCCTCGACTTACCTGTAGTTTTACAAATAATTATAATTTGTGGTCATGACAATGACCAAAACTCACATAGGGTGATTCACTATCCTATCCACACCTCCATATTTAAGATGCATCTTTCAAGTAAGTTTTTGCCTTCCTGCCACCCAGTCATCCATTTGCTGCATCCTTGATTTGCTTGTGCCATGGTCCTTTCAGGGCAAAGTTTATCCTTTTAGCATACAGCCACCTTTGTCTGTGCTTTAAGCTAAGTCAATGGCTTTTGTGCTGAAGCTGATGAGTTATGGAGCTCATGAGTAGTAAAACTACACAGTGAGATCTGCCCTAACCCACTGCTGACATGTATTGGTCTGTGGCACTACACTCTGTTAGTATAACATTGGTTAACAATGTAAGAAAAAAATTTAGGCTCCTAGTTTCTATAATCACATCAGAAAAGCCCTGGCACAGTTAAAGCCATACTAACAGGTAAATATTTTTGTGAGATGAGTTTGTTGCCTGGAGCTGTTTTGCAAGCGCTCCACCAACATAGCTATAGCCACATTCTGTTGCACAGAAGAGCCCTAGGAGATGCTGGGATTTCTGGTTTCTGTTCTTTTACCTAATGCTGATTTGTCTCATCCTCATAATTTTATTCAGGTAGTGCAATGATAATTCTGGTAATTAGAAACACTGAACCCCATTACACAAAGTATAGATGGATGACAGGTTAAATGTCTGACCTTATGTCCAGAGGGAGAAGCTTGCTTACTGGCCACAGTTCAACCTTTCTTGCTCTGGAGGCTAAAAGAAGCCAATGCAAGTTCACCCATCAGTGAAGAACACAACACACACCTCAGGAACACTTGAGCACTGAGTAACTGCAGCAGGGTATACTGGCTGGAGCACTCACTGCACTCTGGACCCAGAACTTGTGTAGTGGTGTTTTCCCTATAGGCTGGATATGACAGTGAAGCTAGAAATTCCTAACACTTCCCCTACAACTTTTTTCTTTTAAGGGTTATTCTGGTCCTTTCAGCAATACGGTTCGCAGTGTGGCTGCACAAACCACTGTGTCAGCACAGCTGAGGGAAGGGACATTTTGCTCCAAAGACACAAAGTTGTTAAACCAGTTCATGAAATTACCATGAAATTACAGCCAACATTGTCTGTGGAAGATGGCATTTTGCTATACAAATGTACCTAATAGCTCTAAATTAAAAACCAGCATGAACTATACTGTTGAAATTGGCACACAGACTCTGAGAGTCTATTCACTTACTTGTACCAGAAATGTGGAATTTTGACCAAATTTAGTTAAGGAAAGGATATTTTTACTTTGAGAAAGAGCCAAACACTCAGCTTGTTTATATGATCTGCTCCACTGTTTATTCTCTTTATTTAATTCTTGTCCACACTTTGTCTCAGACCTGCAATATCTCCCTGTGTTTGTTCATTTTAAAATCAAACTAGTCTTTAATGCTTGTAAATTATACTCGTCCAGAGAAAGAATTATCTCATGTAATTTAAACATCTAGTATAGACATCTACCTTAGATCTTGTCACCTCTGACTTACTGCACAAGGAGTAATGCATAGTGATACTGAGAGAAAATTTTCACTTACATTGTTTTTTGATTTAAACTAAGTTTCAGTAAATTATTTTTTTATGAAGCTAGTAAGTAACATGTAATTCATAAAGCTAAATATTAAATTTTCAGAAAAAAAGTAATTTTTTCTTCTTAAATTTAGAAGATATGTGCAAAATCAAATTGTTTTCATTGACATAAATATATTTACATATTTTTTTTCATTTCTCTGCTGATTTTTTTTGTACTTTGTCATATTAAAAAATGAGTATCAAAATCTTGACATTTTTAGCATTTCATGATAAGCTTTTCTCTAAATTCGTATCAGCCTCCACAACTTGTGAGGCTGAAACATGCCATCAGCTGAAGGAAAGGATCATTTCCTAGCACCTGAATGCAGACTTGAACTACAGGAAGGAGCTGGGGAGTATGATACGGTTTGGGATGTGCTGTGGTGGCATCATACACGTAGTACAGAGTGCTACAAAAGCAAAACAGAAACTAGGGGACTTTTTTAGAATAATGAGCAACAGCCCAAGAGAAGAAATTTTTGCTCACTTTGGAGCAGGATGAAATGCAACAGGAACTGTAGGGAAATAGTCTCTTTTACTCTTTTCTACATTTTTACACTCATCTGAAATAGTCTTTTTTTTTTTGTATGGAAGTCTTGCATGCACTAGGTCCAGACTAATTCAAGTACAAACTTCTCTTCAGATTTGTAGCTATGATGTAAATCTTAGAATACGACAGAGAGATTGTAAGCATAAGATGATATTCAACAGAGAACAAGAACTAGTGACCATACTTAGGAACATGTTAACTATATTACTATCAAGTAATATAGTTATATATAGTATGTACTATATGTAATATAGCATATGGTAGTATTCTATCAAGTTAAGAAAACAAAATATTACAAGACCTCCCACATACAATTCTCCATTTGTGGAAAATGAAATTTTATGTTGGGTGAGCATATGATTTATATACACAGTAAAGCAAAAAAGGATATATATATATATATATATATATATCTATATGCAAATACTTTTCACACAGAAACATTAGCTTACAAAAAAAAAAAAAAAATTTCAAACAAGGTTTCAGAAAACATTTAGCTGCATATAGTTGCCAGCCATGACTTCTTTTTAAGAGTCCTACCTTTTCCCCTGGGAGTCCTTCCAGTCCTGGTAATCCCATTGGTCCTGGGTCTCCCTGATTTTTTTATTTTTTTTTTTTTAATTAAAAAGGATTGCATACATTAGAATTTCTGTACTATACATGAGAAATCTTGAACAACAAACAACAGCAGATTATTTGAGAATAGTAGAACAGACAACGAGTTCTCAGGTGAACAGGTTTTGTTATGCCCTGCTTTAGTGGTCTGTGAATTAAGCTTTTCCCAGAGGCACTGTGTGAGTATTTGGATCGATGGTTTTAATTTTGATGAAGAATGTAATCCGGAAGACTCCCCTCCTGTATTCCTGCAAGCCAAGGTCAGCTCTAAAGCACCTCCAAGGCAGTAGAGCCCTGGGGTATATAGCATATGCTGTCAACCTGAGAACCAACCTTCAAGCAAGTCTGCTCTGTTCTCTAAACAAAGCTTAGTCCTTAGCAGGGGACACACAGGCTAGGTCCCGTGTAGGTCTTAAAGTTTTGCAGTTTAACGTGTAGAGTGAGAAGGCCCTTTTAATTCTTTTTCTGTTTTCAAAGAAAACTGATAAATTACCAGAGATTTAAACTACAGACAACAACTCCAATATTTCAGCAATTCTCAGGTAAATTAAAAGATATAGAGAATTCCTGTCTGGATTTTATGAAGTTTCTGGTAGATCTCACTTTCCACACCTAAATTCTGGGAGATGGTGCTTCCTGAGTAGGAAGTGGGATGCTGTTACAGAAAGACGTATTCATTTCTGGGCATTATGGTGAAAGAGAAAAAAAGAGGCTTTGTGACTTCTTATTAATCAACTATTTTAAGAACCTATCTCACAACTTCATAATTTGCTGTGAGTGCTGAGGTTCTCTTTTGGGTTTCTTATTGTCCTTGAGGAGCACAGTTAGCACACTGGTTCATAGATCAAAGTTTACTTTTTCATATAGCTGGGTCTCCATTAACACTTGTCAAGGAATCAAACATGATCCTAGGCCCTGCACAGGTTGGATGAGAGGAGATTATGCACCTTCATGATAGATTAAGTCCTAGCCAGCTCTTAAAAATTACCTTCCCATAGCACTTTGGTCTTGGCTGGGTTAGTCTGAGGTAGCTACATTTAATTCTGCTGGTTTTATGTACATACTGTGCCTGCACTAGTAGGAAAATAGATACAACTGAATGGTACTGGCATGCTGCTTTCATGAGTAGAGACACTTCTCATTAGTTTTACACTGACACTGAAGAGAAAGGCTCCATTATATGGACCCAAGTCAGAAGACAAGAACCCTTCAACAGGAGAAGACACTCCTCATCATCTTCCAAATACTGTGGCCTGATGTGTTCAGACAAGGCCAGTCTGTAGTGACTTTTAAACAGTCTTTGTGTTGTGCTCTGGCTTGATTCTTTACTACCAGGCATCCAAGATGTTGGCTGAACCATCCCCTTATTTATTTTGCCCAGGACTAACAATTTAAAGACCCAACAGCAGCTGGAGAGATCACGTGTCAGCTCCTGAGTGGCTGAATGAACTCAATGCGTTAAGAAACTCTGTAGAGTATTTCTCTGAAGTAGAAATTTGTTTTGTTAGCAGACATAGCTGTTCATTACTATGTTCTTTACTATGCTGGGAGGGATGTGATTTTGTTTCAAAAAAGATCTCTCCAATATTTTTCAGGGCTTCCTGACCTTTATCAAGTAGACAATTCATCAGAAGATCATGGGGAATGCAGTCTGACTGGGCACAATTTTCTTTCCCTAACTAGCTCTGTTTTTACTTCTTTTATAAAATAAATTTTTATCATCAATTTCCATTACCTGGTATTCTTCCTGATTCAGTTATACTGCCTGAAGTTCAAAAGATGTTTGCTGGACACAGTTCTACCCACACTGACCATGAAGGAATAGTACCTGTTTCACTGCCTTGCAGTTTTATAGTGCTGTAAGTACCACTATGCAGTTATGTGAAGTTTCTTAGACTTTTTAAAAAAAGTAATAAAGATGCGCTTAAATTTTTACTGCTGTGGAAACACCCATTCAATTTTTAAAACAATATCAATTCAAAATTACATTTTATACTATCATACTTTTGGGGCTAAACCATCAATACTCAAATTTTACTATTATCTTTTGGGTATTTTCAATGATGCCCAGTCATCAAGATGCAATATCTGTAAGTTTCAACTTTGCCACCATAAGGCTAAGAACTGTAGTGACAAATCACAAGCTAATGACAAATATAGTTTCTCTATTAGAAAGACAAGTTACATCAGATGTCAAGGACGTTGGGAAAAATGTACACCCAGTCAGGATTTGGATCTATATTCTCCTGGCAGCTAGCCCTATGCAACTGCTCAAGATTCCTCCACTAGTTGCCCTTTCCCTCCTCTTAATTTTAAAAGAAAGATCACATGAGAGGGACATAACACAACGGTTAAAGGAAAAAAGTATTAAAAAGTTAAACTAGATCTGCTTTTGAATGTCAAACTGCATAATTGAAAGGTATAGGGGCTCCCATGATCATTATCTTGCTCACCAGAGCAATGTGATTGTACTGTAACTGTCATGACATTTCCAAAGAAAACATCTGTTTCTAGTTGTTACTAGCCAGCATGATGTAGCACGTTATCCCTTCTCCTTAGCACTTTCAAATTTAACGTTGATAACAATGTAATAGATCTCAAGGTATTTTCTATCTTTATTTCACATTCTCTATTCTTAAGATATATCCAGGGACAGCTCAGCAGAGACAAATTCACAAGTAGTTAATACTATGTTCAGTCATTCATTATATTATCACTTAGAACTATTTACCAGAAATTGCAAAATTTGCAAGCCTAGCAATCAGAAGGTTGTGGGTTTTTTTTTTTTTTTTTTTCCCCCCCAGATGTACCAATTCTGCAGGAGGTAAACTACCTGCTAAAGTACATTAATGGGCTCTTCCACCCTTGTGACTCAGATCATGTATTGAACTATGTGGGGAATTCTATATCATGACCAAAAATATATATACATACCCCTGTGCCAGGATCTCCTTTTGGACCCTGCAAAGAAATAAAGAAGGGGAAACACATTTTTAAAAGAACAGTTATACAGTAAGATGGGTTTTTTGCATTACTGCATTAAGACTGTACTTTGCTAATGCAGCGCATCTAGAATCAGTATTAAGTCCAGCCCTCTCAGCTGGTTAATTTAGTATAAAATCTTAGCAATATTTGTTTTTTTGTTTTGCTGTTCCACAATACAGAGAAAGACAGCTCTGAGGTCCCATGCGAGCCCGTGACTACAAGTGGCACATAATGTAAGGACAAAGACCTCACTGATGGCTACAACATTTTTATGTGGTTTACCTAAATGACAATCTCCTTAAAACAGTAGAGCTTGCCTATGACACTAACAAGGAGGAGAACCTAAATAAGTATACAGTATCATTGACTCCATAGAATCAAAGCGACAGTGTCCAGCTGTAAGGTGGCACATCTGCACTCTGCAGCCCTGTGTTACTGCCACACTATAATTCTCCGTTTTACACATTTTTCTGCACTGTAGCTACACACAGTGATCAGTGACAGAACTGAGATCAGAATTCATTTCCAGCACCAAATTTAATCCATTGCAAAACTATGCCATCACTAAACATAAATACAATGTTACACATTTTAAGATACGAGGATACTTTCACTAGAGAGTGCAATAACAAATTATGTACTATTTTTGCAGTCTTTACTTGCTAGGGTGAAATGCTTAAATCAAAATAAACTACTCTCCAAAATGGGCTAAAATGCTTGATAAACACATAAAATCACATAGATTTATTACATACCAACCTATCCTTAGTTTTTCTGTCTTTCACATATAAAATCAAATTCCATGCCACTTACCATAACTGCATGAAACTAATCAAGCCCTCTGTTACTATGTTAATTAACTATTAGAAATTATGTTTCTCTTAATACTTACTGGAGGTCCTGGTGGACCTGGATAACTGGCAACACTTACACCTCCCTGTAACAGTAAATTTAAAAGTTGAGTTAGGTCAAAATTAGGTGTAGATTGAAAAAAAAAAAAAAACAACCCACAACCCAACATTAAAGAGAAATACCTGGAGCTTATACAAGCTGCTCATTCCATTTCTTTCATTGGAAGGCATACCCTTTAAAACATGAAAACCAGGTAAGTGTCACAATTATGTATTATGAAGGCAAAACTCTTGTCCTGTTCAAGCTGCATGGCTCAGCAAAGCTGTGATATCAGTTTTGTTCTCAAGCATTCTTTCAACGACTCCAGACATTTCAATAAGAACATAAGACACATATCAATGCAGCTTAGGACTTTTTTTGAATTATGCAACCAGAAACTGGTAAATCTCAGTGTACATTATATTTTGATATTTACTATTATTGTATTTTTCCAGAATTAATTTTGTACTATGTACTATTCCAGTTAATTTGGAGTCTTGTGAGCTCCACAGACCTTCCCTAGCTTTCCTGACTTCCCTGATCTCAGGTACACAAGTTGTCTAAATTACTTTAATAACATCAGAGAACAAAGACTCATTTGACCAAGTTTCTAGGATGGGTTTACTCAGCAATGAATCACAAGGAAAAAAGGAATACAGAAACCTTTTGAAAAAAGACACTGATTGTCTTCCTGCACTATTAATGCATATTAGATTGACAGTCAGTTCTTTCTATTACATTACATTTTACTCACAGGTATACTGTTTCCTAATGTAACATCCAAAATATAAACCAAAATGTCTCACCGGAGGCCCAGGTGGTCCAGGTTTCCCAGGAGAACCTTCGCTACCCTAGTACAGCAAGAGATTCATACAACTCATTTACTGCAACTGATGTCCACATCTATTCCATACCCAAGCTATGATAACCATAATGACAATATACAAGAGAGACAGTCAATATGAGCAGGTAATATCAAGAATAAATTCTCCTGCCCAGGTCCTGCTTAAGCCTTACGCAAGTTATTAATCATTACATTATACTATTTTTATTTTGTTAGTTACTTGATGTTTATGTGTAGTAACTTCCTTGTGGCAATAGTAGTGGTAACCTGGTTTGTGAAACACTTCATATATACCAGGAGGGAAAGGAATACAACAAAGAGTTGTTAATTACTAAGCTACTGGCAGATTAGCATTCATTTTATGGTTTGTCTATTATTTTGCAAAAGTCAAACCTCAGTTGATCATTCACAGATAAATAAAGAAGAGCTACAGTTTTGGAAGTTCAGTTTATTTAGAAACACACTGAATAAAGATCTTCTTTAATAAGAGATATAATTAATATCTTTTGGGTTTTACTGTAAAATATTAATCTGTGGTTACCTGTATCTGTAGTCTGTTCTGCTGATGTGCACTTATATTTAGAAAAAAACTTTGGAGTTTTTGCCCCAGCAGAATGGTGGGGTCTCTGAACAGTACAGACTTACAAAGGTTTCAACATAAAATTTCCCAGACAAGATCTTTTCAAAATCTCATCACTACAATTCAATTAAAACCACTGCATAATTTGGAACAAGGCTGCCAGAATTTTTCACTGACTTCATTGGATCTTCTTAAAGATATGTCTGTGAGACACTTGGGCTGCATATTTAAAATTATTAAGGTGGCAAAAGTCAAATTAAGTGTTCAATGGCAATAATTAGCTCACCAGAAAAATATAATTGTTATTAAATGTTTATACTAGGATAATTTCCAAATGATCCTGCTAATTGATAGAAACTGTCAGTCTCCAAAGAGTGATAAAAATCCTATACTTTAGAAAGCATGTTATTTGATCATTTCCCAAACATGTTCCCCAGATGAAGAAAGGAGGAGGAAATTACTCTGGCTGTATTTCAATTTACATCATCACTCTTCAGCCATCTGACTTTTGCCCATTTTGATCGATGTGACACTAGTTATCGAGCAGTGGTTTCTCATTCTCACCTGTGTGCGAACTGTAAACCAGGAACTATTAAAGACTTGTGTTTTGCATTCAGTTACATGAAAGTAAATGAGTGTGGTAAATTTTTGCTATTATGGTCTGCAAGGAGATAGCTTTCAATCAGTTTTTATACTGAAATAATTTCAGAGCTCTACAAAATAGTTTCCTTTCTTACTTGTACCAGAGTCAAGGTTTTGTAGAGTATTAGTAGGATCTCATACATTGATATGGAAGTGCTATGCCTGGAAAACGCCAGGGTAAAGCTGAAAAAAAACTTTCAGAAAAGTATATTCTTATACAAAATGAAGAACTTGTCCCAGAAAGTATTTTGTAGCAAACTAAGTTCGTGTCTGATGTATGTCACTGATCTGTACCCAAGAAATGAACTTGATGTCTTAGTTACAAAGTATAATATGAAGTGCCTGATAAAAAGCACATCGATAAAACCCAGTGCTATAACAGTGTAAATTAAGTGTAAAGGAAGCTTATATATTTTTGCAGCATCACCTATACTCAATAACTTTCAGGACTTGTGAAGCACTTTCAAAGTATGCAGTTACTTTTGACTAAAACACTGGTAAAAGAATGAGAAGCAGAGCAGAGCAGTAACTATTTCACAAATGTATTTTCACCTTCCTAAATTTTATGTAATATGTCACACTTACAGAACATTATCTGCAACTTACACATACCACGAGGACTACACTTCAAAATATAAGCCCTTATGTATGGCATAGTTTGGGGAAAGTACTTGTATTAAGACACAAATAAAAAATAATTTGAAAATGTATGTCAAATTCTTGTTTGTGCTTTACATTAAAAAAAAAAAACCCCAAAACATAGGAGGCATAATGGGATTGTAAAACCTTCACAGATCTTTACCAAGACTAAAAAGCAGGAATACCTTTTCGCCTTTTGAACCCGCTGGACCAGGATGTCCAGGTCTTCCTGTGACTCCCTGCACAACACAGGATCAGTTTATGTTAGTTAAGAAACAATGAAACACAGAATTTTTCCATTGCAGCTTAGTTTTTAAAACCTGTACTGTTTTGAAGGTCACTTAAACCTAATTATGCTTCTCCTCCAGGTCTAAATATCTCTTCTGTTTGATGCACCAGCTGTGTCCTTCTGATAAGCCCTTTAAAGGATAAAACTTTTGTTTGTGGTTGCATTTTCACCTTGGCATACTAAATGAACTGACCTTAACACCTCTTGATACTGCTAAGAATCATGCTTTATTGCTAACATGCAGATTTACATATTCAATATTAAACTTCTAAAATGTGTTACAATTTTTGAAAGAAGGGAAGCATTAGTACTGTCAGCAATTTAGGAATGAATAGTGATCATACTAATGTGATCTCATCCAGTATATAGAAAATAAAATTTTAAAAATTCCAAGGGGAGTTTTCCCAGAAATATAAAAATTTTAAATGGTAATTTTCAGTGACTTTAAATATTGGCAGCTTACTCTCAAACTTTCTTTTATTATGAAACCAAGTGATTACTTGGTTTCAGAATTAAATGTTTTCAGAATGCCTAGCTGGAATTATTTTTAGATTTTTACTACTAACACTATTACTGTAACTTGGGTACAAATACATAATTAACTAAAAATTAGCACATCGTAAGTCATGTAACCTCACAGAGCCTCTAGCAATGTCAAAGCTCCAAACCCACTTGAGTTACATAAACTCTGAGCACAGACAATTACAGTATTTTCAGTAACATCAATTCACAACATAGTTTCTTTTATTAGAGCCAGTATGGGTGGGATTTTATTATTACTCTCTTAAAAAGAAAAGAAAGGACAAGAAACTAAAATATGACGTTTTACTAGATAGTTATAGCAACCTCTGCAGAGCCAGATTAGATCACAGGTGATAACACCCACTTACAGCTGGTCCGCTGGATCCTGGTATGCCTGGCAGTCCAGGAGCACCTTGAAGGCCCTGGAAAGTAAAAGAGCGTATGTCTATTTCTTCTCTCACACCCCAAAACCTACTTATATTCAGCATGTCCAGCAGTATTTTAACTATATTGAAGCATGTTTCCACCTAAAAGGTTAGCATTACTTTTAGGAATGAAAAAAATTCCCACCATGCAGGGAAGAGTGGGAAGGTTCACTGAACAAGGTTAGAGGCAACTTCTTGCCTGGCTGATACTACTTGTCCTTCAATCTTTCACATTGTTAGCTTATGTCCTGTATATCTTTTTGTCTTTGGTTGTGCAGATAAGAGCAGAACATCTGCCTTTTCCTTAGAAATTAATTTTCTATTTTCTAACACTAAGAAGCTATTCTGCTGTTGAGAAGACACATATGAGACTTCTCAGTGTTACCTGATGCTACCTAAATGCAGTGATGCTTTCTGCCTGATTTATAGATTTTGCTTTTTTGGTAATGGAACATGACATTTTTTGTAGCATTTAATGACCTACTTTCCTGCTCTTATTCTATTTGATTGCTTGGAAATCGATGGATTCTGGTATCCACTTACTAAACATACAGACATGCAATTTACTACAGTGGATAAAAGTGGGGTTTGAGACAAGTCTGCGTGTCACTGAAGTCTCTCCTCTGCCACGCCAGACTTAGGTGGAATTTTAGACATGTAGAAGTCATGTACTAATGAGAGCTAATTGCTCTCAGTTCCCCCTATAATCCACAAAGGGAAATAGGTTCCTCCCAGCAGTGATTCACAGGGTGCCTAACTTCTGACAAGAGGAATCACCTCAAAAAAGGCTTATTTCTGTTAAACACATGTTTAAGAAGGCCTGGCTAAGGGGGAAGTCTGCATCTTTTTTTTCTCCTCATATAACTTTACTTTTGGAAGCCAAGGGTCCTGATGAACATAGATTAAAAAAAAAAAATATTCTCATTCTACTACTGCTTGAAAATTTGTCCTATTTTATCACTTTAGCACTAAAGAAATGTAAAACGCTCATATAGAATTACAAAACCCTCAATCAATAAACTCTATTTTTTTTCCCTTTTTTTCATGTGCTTTCTCTTGTAGCGAGCACTCCCAAATTACAAGAGAGTGGCATGTATTTAACAGTGCCAGTTAAGTATTTTGGAATTTCAAAGTGTTCACCAGATATTTTGTAACAGACTACTTATTCTAACTCATTCAGTTGGATAAGGTCTCTAGGAAATTAATTTATATACTCATCTTCATTTGTTTAATAGCTTCTGCTTTGGTGATTTTCTTTTTCTTTTGGACAGAAATTGCTCTTGAATTGTTAACTGCAAATATTTTAATTTAAAATGAAAGCTATAGCAACTGTTTTGGATTCAGCAGCGCAAGTCATGTGGCTATTTTTCCTTCTACATAGTAACATAAAAGTAACTCTAAGAATGCAGTATATGATGCAAAATACTGCAAATATTTCCAATTCAGTATCTTCAAACATTTTCCAGTTTCCACTTAACAGTAATTGCTGCTATGACCATTCCCATCATAGTATTTGCTTAATGGGATGTATTTGAAGGTGAATTCTAAAGAGGAACTGACACAATGAAAGCAAATATGTTATAAAACATTAAGTATTTTTTGAAGATATTTGGCATTTGGCTATTTATTGCTCTAACCTATGCTGTTAAAAATTTGCATTTAAATGTACATGAGGCTTTAAAATATACAAATGAGCAAAAATCCTCACACAAAAATTTAAATAGATGTGATTTAATTGAAGAATAGCATTTGAAAATTCAGAATTGTGGGCTATTTATAGCAATACTTTACCGTCTCAGTAGTTTTAAGGAACTGAGTAACATTCTGCACATTTCATTTTCAGTCCAGACCTTTATTCAGGTTCAGATAAGAACACAACCACTATAGAAATGAAATAATTTTACCTCATCGCCCTTCTCTCCAGCAAGCCCAGGAAATCCACGTTCACCTTTGCTTCCCTATGAAAATGTAACATTAAAACAAATACTTTCTATTAGTGAACAATGAATTTCATGCTCTGTAGGGCATTTTATGCCCCACATTTAATGCCTGCTAGTATGAAGACCTGACAGCAATAGTACCTACAACAGAAAAAGAGGCTGAGTACTACCTGAAAGCTTTAAAATACACCTCCCATCAAGGTGAAATGAGTGGTTTTTTACCTAGTAAGCAAACGAGCCAAAAGGGATGATCTTATTAATACCTAAGAGCTTAAATGTGGCATTTGATCCGATTGCAGTGAAGCAGAATTTTGGTTATGTCAGTGAAACTTCAAGTCCCAGTGAAATGGCTGTCTTACTCCCATGGGAACATGGTGCAAGGGCACGGGGCAGTTCTGCTGTTGGACAGTTGAGGAATCTGTGGGAAGTTTCCTTCTTCACCACTGGATTCTTGCATGAGACCCACCTAAAGTAAGCCTACAAATGGCAATTCAGTACTGGACAGCCAAATCTGAGCTAGCTTTAATGGACACGAGACACAAGAGCTACCTCTGGCTTAGGATACAACTCAGGCTATTTCACTCACTTTCCTGAGAGGAAAGGCAAACTGACACAGAAAGAGGGCTGAACTGTAAATATCATTTGAACCTTCAGGCTGCCCAGATGCTACAGGGATAGGGATCAGACAAAAAAGTCAAAACTGTCAGAGGTAAAAGTCTGGCCTTTTAACAAACAATAAAGCAATGTAAACTACTCTCTTGAAAACTTACCTTGGGCCCTTCTCTACCAGGGATGCCTGGAGGACCTCTTATGCCCGGATCACCCTGAGGAACAGAAAGAAAGCCAAGTTACAACCATTTCTGTGACACAGGCAGAATCTGATCTATTCAATGGCTTCCTTCCTGCCTTTGTGACCATTCCTTCATTTTACCTCAAAGCCTTACCTTCAGTCCTTTCCCTCTCCTACACAATATACTTGTTCAGACATCCTTCCTTGTTCCTCCCCCCCAACACCCCCCC